ACAGTCGGAGAGCCTGAAGGCAGTGAAGGTGACTCTGGGCAGCTTGCACTCAGGTGCCACTACCCACTTGGCACATACCACTCCTACAGAAATCGATAAGAGAACGACAGAATAGTATATACATGCATATACACCTCAGTGTGATTATACCATCGTGGAGAATATTTGTCCTTTGCTATTTCACACTAGGATCCTGTGCATGCCATCAGAGTGGAATGACTCACCATAAGGGTAGTTACTCGGGTAGTTGGGCGAGGTGACCGTGCCAGGGCTTGTGATGCGCGCACTGCAGTCACTGCGTTGCGAGGCTGAAGGGAAATGGGTAGTTCTGTTAGTGGAGGAAGTAAGGTCCCTCATGGTGGAAGCACACACACACAATCTCTCTTCCTCTCTCTCGCATGTATATATCTGCACACATTTAGATATATACATATATATGCATATGTAATATATACGTACATATATGTATATAACATTATATGTATACATATATATTATATGCATCATATATACGTGAGTACATGTATATGTAAATGTTTACATTCTTGAAAATCTGAAATATTCTTACCAAAATAATCCTCTTCGAGTGTTTCGCAGGAAGACCCGGATGTTCCTTGCGGACACACGCACGCGCAGTTTGCACCAGTGTACCGCCGTTCTGGCAGGGGTCGCTGTCCATGCTACACGCCTGCTTCCACTTGTCTGCAGCGAGAAACCAGCGAGACTTTTGAGTGCTTCTTTGCCTTGCTAGAACTACGAAGGAAAATCTCTCAGGCAAAATATTACATATGTCCATGCAAGACCAGGAGGATTACTAACCGATGCATCCGTACATGAGGTTGGCGAGGTGCGTGTCCCGGTGCGACAGGCCGTCGCGACGTCCGATCAGCTCCTGGTTGCGGGGGTCCACCGTGGCGATGGTCAGGCGGCCGTTCTTCGAGAAGTCCTGAGGGGTGAACGGCTCTTGGTTAGAATACATTGGTGAGATTGCCGTCACTTTCATGCAAAAGAAAGTCAACCCAGGTGTCCTGTTCATAGAGAAGACTCCACAAGGATTGAAGAATACTTACAAATCCGCTGTAATGCATGTCACTTGAGTAATCGTATGGAATTCCTTGACTGTCCACAAAACTGTCGGATTTCTTGGCAAAGTTGTTTTCTCTTCCGTCACGATGTTTTCCTCATTGATGTGGATGCTGTCGTCGCGATCCGGGCGGGACTGTTCGTGGTAGAAGCCGATGGCGTGGCCGATTTCGTGGGCGACTGTGCCCAGCTGCAGGAGAGGAAGATGAGAAAGGTGATTGCAATGCAAGTGTTTATCAAAGCTAATCACCGTTTCCTATATGCGTGGAGCGCAAATACTGAAAATGCAGGTGAACTCACGGAGGTGCAGCCTTGGCCGATGGAGATGTCTTGGCCGGTGGAAACTGCGAGATGTATCCGACGTACGACCAGCAGCCGGAACCTTCTGGAACTTGAGGTGAGGCTGGTTCTCATTGGTGGTCAGGTCGAACTTGAGGCAGGTGTGCTGCTCCCAGTGCGCGATGCCGGCTTTGACCGCGACCTGGTCCACGTTAGCTGGGTTGGGAGAGACTTCATGAGTGACATTTCTTCTTATGTACACATATTTTTTCCAAATAAAAAAACCAAATCGGCCGAGTCACTCCTCGCAGGACCACTGACCGTCGGCGAAGCGGTAAGGCACGTGCGGGAAGCCGTCTCCGCTCTCTGGCCAGCGGTAGTTCTGAGAGGCCAGGCCCTTCCTCAAGGCGAGGTCCCTCCACTGCGCCTCCGTCAGCAGCATGTCCTTGTCGAACAGCTGGCCGGCCTCGACTCGGTCGGGATTGGTCTCCTCGAAGGGCCTCGGCTGTGAACGAATGAACAGGAACGCCATGAGTGACAAACTTGTTTGTTTCGCACGTTTAGCATGCGGCCATCATAGCCTTTTTGCAGCTTTATAAACTCAAGGTGATATACTCATTCGTGTTTTCATACCAGCACACCTTGACCTAGAATGTGTATAGGTGTCTGGCACATTCACTCACCAGAATAGTGAAGCCTTCTTTGGGTATACTCCTATGCTCTTTCATATTCTGTGAAAGAGAAAAAGAATATTTCAAAATAAGTAATATAAGGCAAGTGATATATCTACTTATGCAATCAACATAGCTGTAAAACTGCGACAACGATGCAACTGAATTGTATGTCTCGTCTGTTTTATAAAGTATAGTACGAGATCAAGTCAAAATCAACATGATAATGATTACTGAAATGTTTAACACAGGAGTACTAGCGGCTTTTCAGTTTTTTTTTCACAATATATTGTATATATTTTTGTTACAAAAGTCTTTCCGAATAATGCACTCAGTAAAATGCATCAGTTGTAGTAAATGTTTACCTTTTATCAAATCAAGGCACTAATATCCTTTGTTATCACCATTGTAATTATCACTATTATTACTGTTAATATCATTATCATTATAATTATTATCACAATAATGTACTTACGCGGTTGAGTACAATATGCGGCTCATTGCTGTCCTGTCGCTCTTCCTAGGAAGGAAAAGGTTGGTAGTTGAAATGTCTCGAAGTATTTTATATCTACGGTAAATGTATAAACTAGCTTCATTTTTTTTTTTTTTGAAAGAAAGAGGCAGAGACATAAAAAAGACAGAGAAAGGGAAAGAAAGAGAGAGAGAGAAAAAGGAATAGGATACATAAGATCATAACTGGATTAAGAACGTGTTTGATGACTGAATTACTCTTGTTATATTTTACCTACATGTGAAAATTTAGAGGGACTTCTCCATTGGAACTGTAGAAGCACAACAGAAAAACAAAAGTGCAAGTTCATTTCGTAGAATATCTGTTGCCGCAAAAGTATGTAAAACTACAGTGCAGAAAAAGGTTAAAACCACTTACGTAATATATGTTGTAATCCGGGGTCGTCTCTCCAAGCACGCTCTGAAAGGACATTTGCGAGTATGAGCTGACAAAAATTAATTGATATACATAGGTCCTTCTCTTTTGTACAGATGATCGACAGAGGCCACCATTTCTTTCAAATGACGTGAATTTACATAGACGCAAGGCAATGCTAAATATCTGGTGGATATAGTATTATTTGCTTAAAATGAAGCAAGGAAAAGAGAGGCAATGAAATGAAAAGGGCTTCGCGGAGTTACCTGAGTCAGCGCGAGGCAAGGAATGAGGAGCAGACACAAGGCCTTCGCGAACGCCATCTTGTTCCTTCCAGGGTGGAAACTGCTGTGTTCTCCGTCAAGCGCAGCCTTTATACTGGCCTGCTGTCCGATCTCTGGCTAAGGACACCTGCGAAGGATTAGCGAAGAGGTATTCAAGGCAAAGGTCAAAATTCAGATGGATAAAAGGTCAAAATTAGAAGTAGAAAGGAGGCATGGAATAGGTGAATACTTATCGCTCATCCATTCAAGCACACACGATTAAGTACATTTAGGGTTGTGAGCGTAGGTTTGTTTGTGTGTTTGCACATGTGCAAGTATGCATCCTGGACATTATATGCGTTCATCAAAACATTCATTCAGCATCGCAATGTGTGTGTGGGTCCAGGATATATATATATATATATATATATATATATATATATATATATATATATATATATATATATATATATATATATATATATATATATATATATATATATATATATATATGCACGTGTGGAATATTATACAATATATATGTAAATAAACATATACATATACATGCATACACATATATTCATGCATGCACACACCACATATATATAAGTATATATGTGTGTGTTTGTGTATGAATAATAATACACTGTATTTTTTCACACATTCCAAGAAGCAAACAACTTTCAAAGTAGAGTTGAAACTGCAGGGAAGTTATCTATTCGCGAGGTTATTTTGCTTATAGGAACGTCTCCCTCGACGTGTCCTGTAAACTAACTCATACCGCTGATTTTTTCTCTCTAATAATGCCTAGTGATTAAAGAATAATGGTTTCAAATGAAATTAGTGATAGCGGATTGATCGAGAAGGATTTCGATATTTTAAAGCTATCAAAACTTTGGAATATTCGAGTATTTTTAAGTTATTTTGTTTATTTATTAATTCCTCAAGTCCTTAATCTCATCTGCCCGTATTTGAGGTGACCTGACGTTAATTGACCTTATCTGATGTGATCTGATGTGAAATGACCTGATATGATGTGATCTGGATATATTTCATGTGACCCGATCTGATGTAATCTGACCTGATCTGATGCGATCTGACCTGATCTAACGTGATGTGACATGATCCCGTGTGATTTGACCGTATTTGATGAGACCGGACCTAATCTAATGTGAATTGACCTGGTCCTATTTTGATCTAACTTGATCTGAAGCAATATGAACTGATCGTATGTAATCTGACGTGATCCGCCGTGATGTGACTGTAGCTGGTGTGACCGTATCTGATGTGACCTTATCTTATCTGACGTGAATTGACCTGATCTGATGTGATCTGGCCTGATGCGATGTAATCTGACCTGATTTTATTTGATTTTGATGGCCTGATCTAATGTGATATGAACTGATCTGATCTGACTTGACCTGATCTGATGTGATTTGATTTGATCTGATGTGATCTGACCTAATCTGACCTGATATAATGCAATGTGAACAGTGATGTGACCTGACCTGATGTGATCGGACATATTCTGATGTGATCTGATCTCATCTGATGTGATCTGATCTCATCTGATGTGATCTGATCTGTGATCTGATCTCATCTGATGTGATCTGATATCTGATCTGATGTGATCTGATCTCATCTGATGTGATCTGATCTCATCTGATCTGATGTGATCTGATCTCATCTGATCTGATCTGATCTATCTGATGTGATCTCTCTGATGTGATCTGATCTCATCTGATGTGATCTGATCTCATCTGATGTGATCTGATCTCATCTGATGTGATATGATCTCATCTGATGTGATCTGATCTCATCTGATGTGATCTGATCTCATCTGATGTGATCTGATCTGATCTCATCTGATTGATCTGATCTCTCATCTGATGTGATCTGATCTCATCTGATGTGATCTGATCTCATCTGATTAGATCTGATCTCATCTGATGTGATCTGATCTGATGATCTGATCTCATCTAATGTCTGATCTGATCTGATCTCATCTGATGTGATCTGATCTCATCTGATGTGATCTGTGATCTCTGATCTGATGTGATCTGATCTCATCTGATGTGATCTGATCTGATCTGATCTGATGTATCTGATCTCATTTGATGTGATCTGATCTCATCTGATGTGATCTGATGTGATCTGATCTCATCTGATGTGATCTGATCTCAATCTGATGATGATGTGATCTGATGATGATCTGATCTCCTGATCTCATCTGATGTGATCTGATCTCATTTGATCTCATCTGATGTATCTGATCTCATCTGATGTGATGATCTGATGTGATTCTGACTCAAATATCTGATGATCTGATCTCATTCTGATGATGATCTGATCTCATTTGATGTGATCTGATCTATATGTGATCTGATCTCATTTGATGTGATCTGATCTGATGTGATCTGATCTCATCTGATGTGATGTGATCTGATCTCATTGATGTGATCTGATCTCATCTGATGTGATCTGATCTCATTTGATGTGATCTGATCTCTGATGTGATGATCTCATCTGATGTGATTCTGATCTCATCTGATGTGATCTGATCTCATCTGATGTGATCTGATCTCATCTGATGTGATCTGATCTCATCTGATGTGATCTGATTGATCTGATGTGATCTGATCTCATCTGATGTGATCTGATCTCATCTGATGTGATCTGATCTCATCTGATGTGATCTGATCTCATCTGATGTGATCTGATCTCATCTTGATGTGATCTGATCTCATCTGATGATGATCTGATCTCATCTGATGTGATGATCTATCTGATGTGATCTGATCTCATCTGATCCCATCTGATGTGATCTGATCTCATCTGATCTGATCTCATCTGATGTGATCTGAATCTGATGTGATCTGATCTCATCTGATGTGATCTGATCTCATCTGACTGATCTGATGTGATCTGACCTATTCTAATCTGACCGTATTTGATGTGACCTGATCTGACGTGA